ATTGTTTGGAAAAGCTTAGTGGGCTGACGCATAGTTGGACAAGATAAGCGGAAAAAAGAAACTTCTTGTGGTCATGGGGCAATGACACCTTCCTACTGAATTGGACTTGAGCAATGAGTCGGAACATTCAAGTGTGTAGATGATATATAAATGGAGACATACTACTACAATAAGATACCCAGGATACGACTGCAGATAATGTATAAAGAGTCGCATATTATATATTTAAAAACTTCAGCAAAAGTTTTTCTTTCACATCGTATCTACTGTCTTTCTCAATAAACATATAACGAAATTTTCACCTGATTTTCCCTCTTTAATAAATAAAGTTAACAAAAAAACAAAAAGAATAATGTTTCTCAACACATTCAAAACCCTATATCAACTACGAACACTAGTAACAAGTGGCGAAAGTTCCACCTCCTCCTCATGTTTCAACAATATTTCACTATCTTCTTCTAAACTACTCGTTACTTGTATACCATTTTCACTATCCTCTAAAACACTCAATACTTCCATACGTGAAAACCCCAATGACTCAGCATCACTTTTAGGCACCAAAAACAGAAAACAAAGAGGTACAATTCTCAGCACATTTCGTATCAAAATTGCCAACCATAAGTTGTCAAATTGTGTCCTTGTAACATTCAAGACGTGAAGAAGTAAACCACCTAACCATGTTGAAGACATGAGGCCAAAATTGTCAATTGACATGAGCAAAGCGAAGAACGTGCCTTCAATGCCAGGTGGACAAAGTTGTGAAGATAAGACAAGTAGTGGCATCCATTTTAAACGCCCGACTAATTGAAACACACTTTCATCGATAACCGCAAAGAAGTAATCTGGGATTCCTAGTTTAAGGTTCAGTCTTAGGATGAAGACAAGATCTAGCATTCCTGATAAACCGAAAAATAATTGAGTCCAAAATAGTAAAGCTCGGAAAGGATAAGTTTTTAAAGTGTATTGATATAATATCGCGCCTAAAAGGGATCCCACTGAGCCAATCGATAAAACAAAACCAATAGCCTCCTGCATACACAATATTATAGTGGTTAATACATTAATCGCCTATTTAAAGTGTTTATCAACTTACTGGGGTTTGATAACATGTGTTATATAAATAATTATTGTGTTTATAAAAAATATGTTTTTGATATAAAAGTATCTGTGAAAAATATTATTATAGATGATAAAAAATAAACTGTTATATGTAAACACAAATATGTCAATAATAGGTATGGGCGTCCTTTTTGTAAAAATAATTAATAATAATAATAAGTAACGAAGAGAAAGAGAAAGAGAGAAATATAACATAAATAAATAAATAAATAAACACCTGGGAGAAAGATGGGCCGGCTTTTGAATCAGTTTCCCAATAGAAGAGGCCCTCATAGATATTCAAACTCAAAGCAAACGAGAGATACATATACAAACATGGCCTCCATACATCCTCGCTTTTCAGAGTAGTCCACATAACCGTAGCAGCATCAACAAATTTCTCACGGATCTGATTCATACCCAAACAAGTCAATTTTCAACAATAAACCATATACTGTGTTTGACATGCATTGGACCAAGGCTACAAAAATTACAATTACAGGTTGTTTCTTTTTTTACTTAACGGGCTTAATGGGTTAAGACACCGACCATTTACCTTTTTGTCTTTCTACTTTTTTCCTCCCAATTCCTTTTTCCAAAAATTGATGAATATTGTCAACTTTATTTTAAAGAAACTAAGGGTAGAAAGGGCATTTGGTCTCGTTAAGTCTTGAAAAAGAACAATTTATCCAAACAAACATAGTAGTACTCATTCAAAAAAGAAACAAAGGCTAGTTAATTATATGTACCTGTCTATAAGCAAAGCTAGGTGATTGGGGTTCCTTTAGCACAACACCAACCAGTACCACAAGCGCATATGGTATACTTAGCAACCCATAAACTCCCTTTAATTTAAAAGGAAACAGGTCAGTTGTCGATATAAAAAACGTTAGATGTTGCAATTTGTGTTGAAAAAATACAAGAAAGCAACCTTGGGACCAATTAGATGAACAAAGACACCGCTCAAAGAAAATCCGATTAGAGCTCCAATGGAAGAACTCAAGGCACATAAGCTTTGCATATCTGGAGCAAGAGAAGGATGAACGCCACTATGCTGTGCTACACACGCATCAATAGTCACATCTGCTATAGCAACTCCAGCACTTCCGGCTGTTAGCGCCGCCAGTGCTAGCACAATATGCAGCTTTTCATGGAACGACAAGAAAAACATCGATAGAATTCCCACAATACCTGGAAAAATTGCGAATATACAGATAATAAATCGATCGATTACAAACTAAATAAGTATATGAATGAACATATATTGATACATGGTTTTACCAGCAAGAACGAAATAAGGTCTGCGTCTATGCCCGAAAATGGGAACGACATCTGTAAGAAGACCCCAAATGGGTTTAATAATCCATGGAATATTTGTTATTCCTGTGAAAGCTTGTGATTCAGATGGTTGAACTTTTTGCACATCTTTCATGTAGTACTCTGTGCCCACTCTAGCAAGAGATCCACCGAATCCTTGATTTATTCCATAAACAACCACAACAGCGACCACAGAACTCCAATGTGTTTCCCTTGATAGCATTCTCAGCCAATCGATTGGGCCCCTAATATTAAACCCCACAAAGATCCCTCTTTTGGGGCTTCCATTTTCATCCGCTTCAACTTGCTCTTCCTTGTTATAGATTTCGTTGCCTTTCCCTTCCTCCACCATCAAATTCAGCTTTCTCACAACTTGAACAACGAGTTTCTTGAAATGGGTATTTTAAGATTTATCCGATAGATATGAACATCACTCGAAAAGCATTGAAGGCCTTTGAAGAAACATCAATAGTCGAAGTCAACGCTCCTCAAATGTGGATCTTGGATCTGATTGGCGCTCTCTTCCAGATTTCTTGAAAATTTTATGAAATGGGTTTTGATTAGTGAGGGTGAATACATCTTAATCCCATTTACCAGTGCAAGAATGACTACTTACACGCAAAACAGAAGTTTTTTTTTTCAAAAATATTTGCTAAGATGGATGTAAAACAGGATGAAGCTTGTAAAGAAAGCACAAATCACAATGTTATGATACTTAAGCATGAATGGCAGAAGTTCAGAAATTTGATGTTTGGGGGTGAATTATTGAAAGTTCCGAAGAAATCTATGGCAAAATATGAAATTTTCTGTAAGTAGGTGGAAGATGTTATGCCATTGTTGACTACAATCCTGGTTTTCTTTGAAGTTGGAGATATTTGGACGTGATCCTTAAGCTGATAACTTTGTTTGTCCAAATTGATTGATTTTAAATTCTTTTCCAAATAAAATAATGGAATTATTATTATTATTATTATTATTATTATTATTATTATTATTATTATTATTTATATATATATATATATATATATATATACACGTTCAGGTTCATTTGAAATCATTCTAATTTTATAAGACCGTAAAACCAAATCTAAAAATATTTTTAAAATGCAAAATAAATGAAAAAATCCAAAAATTCTTTTTTTAAATATTATTTTCGGAACTTGAATTATTTAAATAAAAAATAAAAAAATAAAAAAAATCCCTTTTTTTTAAATACGTGAAATATTCTAATAGAATATTACACTAACATATTCTAAAAAATAATTTTAAAATCCAAAATAAATGGAAAAATCTAAAATTTCTTTTTTTAAACATTATTTTCGGAACTTGAATTAACTAAAAAAAAAAATTTTGAAAAATACGTGAAATATTCTAATAAAATATTACACTGTACATATTCTAAAAAATAATTTTAAAATGCAAAATAAATGAAAAAATCCAAAAAAAATTAATATTATTTTCGGAACTTGAATTAACTAAAAAAAATAAAAAAAAATGCGTTTCAGTCTCACAAAATTAGACCGTCTCACATGAACCTAACCCTATATATATATATATATATATATATTATATATATATATATATATATATATATATATATATATATATATATATATATATATATATACCATTTTAATAAAAGGTTTATCTTTGTGGGCCCTCTATAATTTAAGACATTTATCTTAAAAATCAAGGAGATCAATTATGGACCTTTGGATCTAAAATGAAGGGTCATGATTATTTGATATTTGTAATCCGTGTGAAATTGTTTGAACCAATAGGACACCACAAACACAAATACACGGATCCCTCTAATCCATTCATGAAATTGTATGGACCTTTCTCATTCCCTCATTCCGCCGTTTCTAATGATAGCAAAAATCTCTCCTCCTCCTCTCTTAATCCATTCGCCGTCTACATCTATCTTGATCCAGTCGCCATTACGCGGATCTCTCCTCCTCCTCTCTTAATCGATTCGCCTTCTAAATCTCTCTTAATACAGTCGCCATTACACGGATCCTTGGTTTTTTGTTTCGATTTCACGGGCTAGGGTTTATACAATCTCGAAGTTTTTGAAGATCGTGTGGAACAAAAGATTGAAAGGTTCGTTTTTTTTTATTACTTGGTTTGGTTTTTGAGTATTCTTCTCCAGAATTTGGAACGAACGGCATTAGCTACAAAAAAATCGTGAAAACACCCTACGGTTTGTCCTGTGCTAACCGATTTTGCTTGTTTGTTTCGATTTCATGTGTTAGGGTTGATACAATTCCAATGTTTTCGAAGATTTTGCTCCACAAACGATTGAAAGGTTCGTTTTTTTATAACTTGTTTCGGTTTTTGGGTTTTGTTCTCTATAATTAGCCACAAAAAACTCGCCAAAATCCCCTACGGTTTGTCCTGTGCTAACCGATTTTGCTTGGTTGTTTCGATTTCATGTCTTAGGGTTAATATAATCCCAAGGTTTTCGAAGATTTTGCTGAACAAACGATAGAAAGGTTCGTTTGTTTATAACATGTTTTGATTTTTGAGTTTTGTTCTCCATAATTCAAAAAGATCGCCAAACCGTCTACCTATTATCTTGTTTAAACAGATTTTGGTGTTGCTTGCGATTCCATGTCATGTAATTTCATGTAGCATTTGCCCTTTAAACTTATTGCTAAAAACGTAATCTATTAAAACTAATAAAAAGTAACTTAGTTTTTTACAAATTTAATTTTATACACATATATAGGAGGATATAAATGAAAATTAATAAAATAAATATTGAAATATGAAATTTACGTGTAAATGAAAGACAATAAAAATAAAAAATAAATACCTCATTAAAACTTCAATCCATATGATCAAAGAATGATAATTGAGATTCATAAGTTTTAATATTTTATACCAAAATTTTTATAACTTCATTTATTTGTATCGTTCTCTTTATATTTCAAACTTTTGACGGAATTTAAGTATACAAAAATAAGATTGCAGTTCAACAGTAACATAATATAAAAGTTCAAATTATAATTTTTTGTATTTTCTACTCTTTATTTTTAGTTATAATACCATTTAAATCTCTACAAAGAGATGATAACAAATATAAACTATTTCGGTTGTAGTTTTCATCAAACTATCTATGCCATCATGTACAATTGTCTTGGCATCATGTTCTTTACTTTTCATTCTTAAACAATATAGTTTTTTTAAAGCACTTAAACTACATATTAAAATACAAAAGAGACAAATATTACAAACACTTCACTGAATCTTCTACTTTACTTTATATTCTACTTTTCTCTATAGCTTTGTGTTGATGCTCTTCCTGCCATGTCAAACTTCAAATAGAATTTTATCCTACCACAAAGCAAAACACATATGAAGATAGAAAGCTAAAAATTAGAACAACCTAAAAGAAGAAGAAAGAGAAAAATACATCCAGAAAGGTTTGTTTTTGTTTCTAACTTGGTTTGATTTTTCAGTTTTCTTCTCCATAATAATGAACAAACTCCATTAGCCACAAAAATCTTTTTTTTTTTTCAGGTCAAAAAAACTGGAATGGTGCATCCCATGGATGTTGAATGAAACTCTGATTTTACTTTGTGTTTTAGAATATTACCAGGTTATATTTCTATTGCGTTTTTATTTGTTGAACGAACCATTTCAACATTTTTGTTTTCTATCTATTTACACATAAAAATTCTATGAAATGCAAGCAGATCAAGAAGGAATGTTATCAAATTTGCACCAACTAACTTTTATGTTATTTAGGTATAATTATTGGTGTTTATTTAACTTTAATTAAACTTTCATGTTATATATATTCATAGTTAACTCATAGTTTATGTTTTTTTTTTCAGATCTGATGAAAGGGTATGATTAATTGTTTAATAAATACTTATTGAAGGTAGTTGATATTTTTCTAAACTCTTCATATATTTGCTGAGGTTTTTTTTTCTATATGATATCATTATAGAATTTAAAGTTTTAATTAAATCAAATGTTTATGAAACTTTTTAGCCTTAAAAATTGCTTTATACTTTTATTTAAATATATATGATTATATTTTGTTTTAAAATTTTATTTACCAAATAGGTGTAGTTTTAAAAATATTTATCAAATAAGTGTAGTTTCAAAGTTTATATTTTTTCTAAAACTTTCAGGCTTTTATTCTATTTTCATATATTTTAATATTTTTCTTTTGATCTTTTTAAAACTTTTTGATATTAATTTTTTATGTGAAAATAGATTAACATACTAGAACGGTATGGTAATTTGGCAAATTTTAAAGTTAAATGTAGTGACACAATCTTTGTTTTACGTTACCAAATTATTTTAAGAAATGGGGTTTATAAAAAAAATGATAAAAATAGCAATTTTTTTATAAAAAGAGAGGTCAAAAAATATTTAAAAGAAATTAAGTAAAAATAAAATGAAAGTTTAAAAATATAAAATTTTAAAACTACACTTGTTTGGTAAATATTTTTGAATCTACATCTATTTGGTAAATATTGTTTTATGATGACTTATATTTTACCTTTTTTTTTTTTTTTGCTAGGCACAAGTTTTTGATATGTTTGGACAACCTTCAAAATTAGTAGGGGTAGAAATATGATACTTTTTCTATTATGTAATCCGTTCATAAGTGTGTAATTATATGTATGTATGTTAAAGTAAGGTTAAATGATAAAGAAATCGTGCAAGTACCTTGTTATTTCCCAATTTTTAAATTATAAAGTAGGAAATAACATCGTACTTTCAAAGATTTCTATATTATGGGATCCTATTTTTTTATGTTTTTCTTTCTTACGAAAATAAGTTGCTATTCATGATTATATCGGCATTGAAGTACAATGATATTTCTTGTGCTTCCTTGTAAGGAATAAGAAATATCATCTTATTTTAATTGATTCGATTATAATATAACAAAAAATTGAAATTATGATGCTATTTCTTGCATTGTAAACATTGATCATACAAGTTTTGTATAATAATATCATATTTTCTCACTTTTTATTGTCATAACATTCTAAATTTATCTATATTCTATATGTTTTTGAATGTGTTAATGTTAAAGTTGGATGCTTTATTATTATTAATGAATAGAATAAAAAAATTAATGCATATCATAAATGTTAAGGTACATTTTTTAGATTCTGTGTTTATGTGAAACTGGGAATTTATAATAACGAATAAAATAAAACAAATAAAGGAATTTCGTTTTTTTTAAAAACACAAATTGAATGCATGTGAAAAAAAAAATTCTAATTGTAAAATATTTTGTTAGGTACAAATATTGTCAGTAATAGTATTGTTGGTTGTATAGTATTGTTGACTGTGAAAAGTAACAGTAGTGTTGACTGTGAAAAGTAGGAAAAACCAATGTCAAAAACAGTAAATTAGTAGGTAATTATGTGGTCATAAATAGTATTTTTCAGACTGTCTAAAATACTATTTATTTGTCAGAAAACAGCAATTTATAGACTGTAAAAAAACTGTTTAATAGACAAAAAAAACTGTTCAAAAACAGTACTAGCAAAAGATTCCATAAGGAAAACCAATATAAATATGTTCATTGGTTGATAAACAAATTGTAGAAGCTTGAGTTTTAGAAAAAAAATGTATGCTTCCTTTTCTTTCTGTTGTATTTTGATATACAAAAGCTAAATCGCAATTACTATTTTTAAATGAGTGATGTGTTTTGATTTTTTTTTTCATTTACCTAGCAACAAATTTTTTTAGTGTATGCTTTAGAGTAACATTTACAATTTTGTTTAAATTTGATTAATTTCAATTTTTAATATAAAGTGATGTGTATTGTTTTTTTTTTCATTTACCTAGCAACAAGTTTTTAGTATATACTTTAGAGTAACACGTACAATTTTGTTTAGATTTGATTTGGTTTTTAACAACTTATTTTTGTTTTAATCATGTCTATGATACAGGGCAGTGCTTACTTTTGACTTGTGACCAAAATAGAGGTAAATTGGAAGTCTTTCAATTTACATTATTCATCTTGTTTAAATATCATTATCCTTTTTTGCTATATGTTTTACTCTGTTATATTTTAATATAGTATTAGTTATTCCTACGTGTAATATAGTATTAGTTATTCCTACGTGTAAAACTTGATAATACTATGTAGTTTCTTTTATTTACATGTTTTATTTTGTTTACATATCATTATCTTTTTTTTGTTACATGTTATACTCTATATAATTTCTTTTATATTTATTTACTATAACAAATGTAAATCATTTAAAATATAAGTATAAACCGTTTAAAGATTTGGATATAAAAGTGGATGCAAATATATACAAGACCAAATGTAAGAAATAGAGATATTAATAGTATAATATTTATAGAAATATATTATATGAATAGTTATTATTTTTATTGGTTTTAGTTTAATATGTTGTTATTAAAATATAATGAAGAATAAAATTTTGTAGCATTTATGATATCAAATTAGGTTTGTTAAAACTTTTAACATTGTAAATGAAAGTCTAAAATATTATATATCTATATTTTCTATTGTTTATTTTAATAATTATAAATACACTATTTATTGTTATGAACATTTTAAATATTTTTAATATTTAAATTAATATTGTAAATGAAAGTCTGAAATATTTTATATTTGTATTTTCTATTGTTTATTTTAATAATTATAGATACAATATTTATTGTTATGAACATTATGAATATTTTTAATATTTAAATTAATAATATTGTTATCAATTATTTAACTTTTACATTTTATTTTAAATTTTGTAGAAAATGGATATGTATTTCAATGTTAACTCTTTTCGGTCACTCAATAGTCCATATGCGTGGTATAATTTTGCTTGTGTTCGGATTGATTTTGTTTGGGTGGATATAAGGGAAAGCAAACTAATTATGCTTGTAGTTGACCAAAATGTAAGTTCCAAATATATAATGCTTAATTTCACCATATAAAGAGTTTTTCTATTACTATTTTTTTAACAAATTTTTTATTAACTAGAGAGAAAAAATGGTGGTAGTTGTACCTAGCTCTTTAATAGGAAGATACCTAGAAAGAGGTATGCAAGGCCGCTTATATTTTATAAATCATTTTAAACTCAATTCCACTCCCGATGACTTCCCCAAGTATGAAGGATACAACTTTGTTGATGATCAATATGTCATAATTGTCAACCAAGCTACACGATTTACTCTACTTGAGCCAGTCATTGAAAATCATTTTCCGACTTATCCATTGGTTGAGTCTATTGAATATCTGATGAGAAATCCACATCAACGAAATCTGATCGGTAATTCTTAAATAGTTATTACAATATAATATTTAACTCATTTTTTAAAAAATAACTAAAATTTGTTTTACTTAAATGGTGGTTTAGATGTTGTTGGCAAAGTTATTGATGGACATCTTTTACACCATGATTGTTCGATTGATTTACTTCTTCGAGATCAATCGTAAGTTTTGATATTATTATTATTAAGATTTTAATTATAAGTACTATTAAAATCAATATTTCAAATTATTATAGTGGCTATGTAATTCAGTTGATTTTGAATGGTGGTCCTGAAGCCTTACCTTTTAAACTCGCGCGATCAATTCAAGAGAAATGGATCATATATGTATCTCGTGTTAAATATCGAAGCCGAGGGGGGAGTAAGTATAAACTTTTCAGTTAAAATCATTTAACAAATTAATTATTTTTATTATCCATATGAAGTATTAATGTATAAAAATTAATTTCAGTGAACTTTTTGGATTCTACATCCATTTCGAGGGTTGCATTTGAGCCGGTTATGGCAGAAGCAAATGCTATTAGGGTGATTTATGGATGATATAATTATGTATTTCAATTTTAAAAATAAACAACTTAAGAACGTTTGTTGGTGGTTTGTTTATGTAAGAATATTGGTTATTGGTATTTTGTTGTTGTAACCTTAATATATCTATTATGTTGCAATTTATTATCTTTGATCTATATTATTCAAGTATTGAACAAATTTATGTATTGAGTTAGTAGATATAATATTCTTTTTATTTATGTTTTATAAACTTATAGTGTGAAATTGGGAAGAAGATTGCTACAACAATTTGTGGTAGATATCTACATAAAGATCGAGACTTCACGCTTGCTTTTTTGTAAGCTAAACCAAAAGAAGATAAGATCTGACCTTTACCAAGGAATTGTTGACTGTGTCAATGCCGGTGAAGTTGAACCAAGTAGAGTCGGCCAACGGATAGTCTTACCTACATCTTTCATTGGTGGACCACATGACATGCGACGAAGGTTCCTAGATGCAATGACGTTAGTTCAAGATGACGAAAAGCCTGATATATTCCTTACAGTAACATGCAATCCAAACTGGCCAGAAATTGTTGATGATTTGAAACCCGGGCAAAGTGCACAAGATCGACCAGACCTTGTATCAAGAGTGTTTCGTGCAAAATTAGAGGATCTAAAGGACCAACTTCTAAAGCATCATATCTTGGGTGTGGTTCGAACATATGTTTATGTGGTGGAGTTTCAAAAGCGTGGTTTGCCACATGCACATTTCCTCTTGATAATGAGACCAGAACACAAGATGACAAATGCTGACCATTATGACAAAATGGTGTGTGCTGAACTTCCCGATCCGAAAAAGTATCCCAAAATGCACGAACTTGTTGTGAAGCACATGATGCACGGTCCTTGTGGTCATTTACGAGAAACCAGTCCATGTATGCAAGGAGAGCCAAAACAATGTCGGTGGAGATATCCTAGACAATTTAATGAAGCGACGACACAAGGAGAAGACTCATATCCATTATATAGGAGGAGAAACAATGGGATAGAGGTCAACGTACGAGGAAATACACTTGATAACAGATGGGTGGTACCATATAACCCGAAGCTGTTAATGATGTTCAATTGCCACATGAATGTCGAGGTTTGCTCGAGCATAAAATCTGTGAAATATGCTTTTAAATACGTTTACAAGGGACATGACAAACAAGTTGTCCACATTAATCAAGATGGAGCGGAACCCATCATCAATGAGATTAAAAGATATCAAGATGCACATTACGTCTCACCCCCTGAGGCAATATGGAGGATTTTTAGCTTTGTGCTTTCTCAAATCCACCCTTTCGTCATGTCTTTGCATCTTCATCTCCCGAACCAACAATTGGTTAGATTCTCAGATAATGATTCAATGATTGATATTGTGGACATGGAGAAAGATAAGAGTTCAATGTTGACTGCATTTTTTGACATGAATAAAATGGATGAGATTTCGAGGCAATATCTATATAAAGAATTCCCAAGATACTTTACATGGAATTCAACCAAACGTTGTTGGAAGCAAAGGAAAAAGAGAGCAATGAGAGGCTGATTGGTTTCTGCTAACCCTGCCGAAGGAGAGAGATACTACCTACGGGTTCTTCTATCACATGTTAGAGGGCCAACATGCTTTGAAGATCTTTACACGGTGAACAACGTGTTACATCCAACATTTCGTAAAGCTGCTCTTGAGAGAGGGTTAATAGAGACCGATGATAACCTATCTCAATGTCTTATGGAGGCTTCATTATATCAATTTCCAGGTGCTCTTAGAAGGTTATTTGCAACAATACTCATTTATTGCGAACCCGGAGATGTTCGCAAGTTATGGGATGACCACTATAATTCACTTTCTGAAGATTATATGCGACAATGTGAAAGTGTTGAGCGAGTTCAAACCATGGTTCTTATGGATATCTCTATAATTTTGCAATCTATGGGTAAGCATCTCAATGAGTTTGATCTTCCTATGGTAAATACACACATCAATTTGGAATCTGGATTTTATCGTGAGGTCCAAGAGGAGTACTCCATTGTTGTGGATGATGAACACCTTCGTGCAAAATATTCTCTCAATACCGACTAAGAAAATGCATATGATCAGATCATGACCCACGTTAATCAGAATCGTCCGGGTGTGTTTTTTATAGATGGTCCTGGTGGAACTGGGAAAACATTTTTGTACAAAGCCTTACTTGCCGAGGTTCGGTCCTATGGTCATATTGCACTTGCGACAGATTCATCCGGTGTTGCGGCTAATAATATGCCTGGGGGAGAACATCTCACTCGCGGTTTAAGATTCCGATAAATCTTGATAATAACTCAATGTGCAAAATCAATAAGCAAAGTGGGGTTGCACAACTACTTCGTTTGGCCAAAATAATCATATAGGATGAAGCATAAATGGCGAATAGGCAAGCAGTAGAGGCGGTGGATCGAACGATGCAAGACATTACAAAGTTGAGCCTCCTTTTTGGTGGAAAGATAATGATCTTGGGAGGCGATTTTAGGCAGGTGTTACCAGTATTCAGACGTGGTACTAGAGCACAGATTGTAGACGCCAGTTTGAGGATGTCACCTCTTTGGTCTTTGATTAAAAAAATACGTTTAACTATAAATATGAGAGCACTAGCCGATCCATGGTTTTCAGATTTTTTGATACGAATTGGCAACGGAGATGAAGAAACCATCGATGAAAGTTTTGTCCGAATACCTGATGATATGTGCATTCCTTACACTGACCAAGACAAATCAAAAGACGAGTTGATTAATGCAATCTTTCCTTCTTTGCACATCAATGGAGGCTCTTCAGAGTATATTATTTCCAGGGCGATACTATCAACAAAAACTGAAAGTGTTGATGAAATTAATGATCAACTGATTGATAGGTTATGTGGAGATGAGAGGATTTACTATAGTTTTGATGACGCAGAAGATGATAAGAACAATTTCTATCCGAAGGAATTCTTAAACTCTATCAATATCAGTGGTTTACCTCCTCATTACCTTCGACTCAAAACTGGATGCCCTATAATACTGTTAAGGAATATTGATCCTTCGGATGGTTTATGTAATGGCACAAGATTGATATGCAAAGGTTTTCAGATGAACGTGATCGATGCGGAAATAGCAGTTGGCCTTCATGCCGGAAAACGAGTTTTTTTACCAAGAATCCCTCTTTGTCCATCCGATGATGACATGTTTCCATTCAAATTGAAAAGAAAACAGTTTCCAATTCGGCTTAGCTTTGCTACGACAATCAATAAAGCTCAAGGTCAAACAATTCCAAACGTTGGTGTTTATCTACCAGAGTCAGTATTCTCCCATGGGCAACTTTATGTGGCACTTTCCAGAGGGATATCCCGTGAGAATACAAAGGTCTTAGTGAAACCTACAAAAGAATTTCAGGGGAGAGGAATTTACACATCAAATGTGGTGTATCAAGAAGTTTTGCGTGATATATAAAATCAAATTTTGTATAAACCTTATCGATATATATATTAAAATAGTAACATGCTGGTTTTCATTTATTATCATATACGATTACAGTCGCACCACCTCACTGAGATAACTTTTCACCTAACAAGAACTAATCGGCGCCTAGAATCTTTTTGTCGAAAGGAAAAATAGTCGTCGCCGCATCGCGCGGGTACCCCACTACTATATATATATATATATATATATATATATATATATATATATATATATATATATATATATATTAAGATTATGAAGAAAAAGTAACAGTAAACCCTTTGTTTTTCGTATTTGGTCCCTGAACTTATATTAACTTTCTCTCCTATTTTCCTTACTTTTCCACTTTTGTCAATGTTTCATACATATTTGTGTTGGTGGTAGGCGGTCTAAAAAGTGGTAAATTTATTGTATTTTTAATGTGTTCCCGTCTTCGTGTTGATCTCCATTGGGTTCCAAGTGTCTTATTCCTCTTACTTTGCTTATCAATCCCTGATCTCCTTTTTCTTTTCCGTCTGTTTGTGTTTCTTCGTCATCATCCGCTTTTCTTTCTCGGCCTCGCTCTTCGTTTCTGTAGGGTAAAAATTGTGTTTTGTTCTTCTTTTGTTTCTTCCATTCTCGTCTTTTTCGTTCCTTTATTGTCCTTCTGTGGTCGTATATCTATGTAATGGTGGTTCCGCCCAAACGGTGTCGGGATGAAGGTTCTTCGTCGTCTGCTGCTGTTCCTTTAGTTGGTCGACGGAAGTGTCGTTGTGTTGATCGACTCTCTGTGCTTCCCGAGTACGGTGATTGTGGTGATTGTAGCTGGGTATGTGAGTATTGTGGTGCGTTATTCTGGTATGTGGAAAGGGCTCTTAATATATCTACGGCTGGCAGTGGCGAGGCTATGTTGAAGTTTAGTGGGTCACTTGACCCACCTATTTTTTTAATTTTATAACATTGTATATATAATTAAAGTTATTGACCCACCTTAAATAATTTTAATGAACTACCTTAGTATTTTAGACAGCTAAAATACATGTATTTTTATAGCTCATACTTTATATTTTAATAGCACAATCCAATATAAATAGCCCAATATAACTTAAATTGAAAAAGAAAATTAAAATAATAATTGTACGAAGGCAAAATGATATTTTCTATCCATGCCTGACAATTGTCGAGTGATCACCATGAGACATTACTCATCAGCCCATCGACCATCAAAATTGCGAAACGACATCACTCTCAGGTGCGTCGGTGCCACCATCGGCAATCGCCGCTCGCCCATCCAACATTAGTAATGATACAATTTAAAAAACATATCAAAATATAAGACCCCGTTGGATACAGTTGTAAGAACTTTAAATCTTTTTTGGTTTATACGACTAGACCCGAACACGCAACTAGTATTGTTTGCTTTTTTTTTCTATCGGTTTCATTTAAATTGTGAACCATGTAGTTTTACGTTCTAGACTCGTCACTGACGGCCGCTCATGCAAGGTACACTCATTTTTGTAGAGTTGGGAGTGTCGTTCTTCCATACCCTTCTAGGTTTCCCGCTCAATTTATTAGCCTGTACGAGAGTCGAAATTTTTTAAAGGATATTAGGGCTTATAATAGTATGTTTTCCATGACTTCTTTTGGGGCTAATGTTGATGATGACGTCAATGATAGTCAGGGTCCATATGTTTTTAAGATATCAGGTCAGATTAGTCATAAGATTGGGTCCCTGTCTCCCGATACCGCAAAAGGTCCGAGGTTTTTACAGCTTTATCTATTTGATACAAATCAT